TGACAAGGTAAAGGCCACGTTACCGGGGAGCGGGTCGGGTTGGGGTGAGGAACCAAGCACGTGCGCAGCATCACACACAGGGCCTGTCCTTTCACATGGCCCCACAGTGAGCACTTGCAGCCAGAACCCCTTGGTGAGCAGCAGCTCAGAGAGGGGATTCTTCCCCTCGGCTGTGCTCTGGGAGATCCCCCCTGCAGCTCTGATCCAGCACTAGAAGGATGTGGAGCTGCTGGAGTGGGTCCAGAGGAGGCCATGGGGATGCTGTGAGGGCTGGAGCAGCTCTGCCCTGAGCCAGGCTGAGAGAGCTGGGGTGGGGCAGCCTGGAGAAGAGAAGGCTCCTGAAGGGGAGACCTGAGAGCAGCTCCAGTGCCTAAAGGGGCTGCAGGAAAGCTGGAGAGGGGCTTGGGACAAGGGATGGAGGCACAGGTCAAGAGGAATGGCTTGAACCTGCCCGAGGGCCTGTCTGCCTCATGCAGTTAGGGAAATAAAAGGGTCAAAATCCTGCTGGCCTGAAGAACACACTGTGCTTGTACTCGTTCAAAGCCAGGATGCCAGCCCCATTCCCACTGAAAACCAAACCAACCTCCCCCTATAAAACCCATCCAGCCACATCATTCGTTTTCCCTTCGTGTCCTCCTACCAGCAGTACAACTGCCCTGCTCACCCTCTGCCTTCCTCCCCTGCTCAGGTGTACATATGTGGTGGCTTCAATGGCTACATGTACCTGGACACTGCGGAAGTGTACAACGCCAGCACAGGGCAGTGGAGCTTCATAGCGCCCATGAGCAGCAGCAGAAGCGGACTAGGAGTCATCGCGTACCGAAACGAGGTGTATGCGGTAAGGGAGGCCGGTGCCTCTGCCCTCGCAGCCCCCAGCACGTGTAATACTCACCCTTTGCTGATCTGCATCTCCTGGACTTCAATGCTGGCCTTTTACTTTGAAGTGAGATGTAGGGAAGGAAGGAAGGAACAGAATCATGGAATGGGTTGGGTTGGAAGGGCCCTTAAAGCTCACCCAGCTCTGTCCTCCTGCCATGGACACAGACCCCTTCCACTGGAGCAGCTTGGCCAAGCCCCTGCGTCCAAGCTGGCCTTGAACACTGCCAGGGATGGGGCAGCCACAGCTCCTCTGGGCACCCTGTGCCAGCACCTCAGCACCCTCACAGGGAAGAGCTTCTGCTTTAGGTCCAACCTGAACTTCCCTTGGTTCAGTTTGAACCCATGGGAGCCTCCTGAGAACATCGTCACCTGCACGCTTCTGGTTCTGAGCAATGTACAGGCTATTTTTAAGCATCTACAGCAAATCAATGAGTTTCGGCTGCTGCCAACAGGTTCAGCAGCACAGAGGCCTCGCTCGGTCCCATTCACCCCAGCCATATACTGCATTTAAACCCTGTAAAGTGTGAAATCTGACAGCTGCACAAAATACTTTTGGATGTTTCAGGAGGAACAAGGGAGCAGCCTGCAATGAGCACACGTTTTGAGATGCCACGCTCTCAGCAATGCTCAGCTGAGCTCGGCGAGGCAGGGCCACTTCCCCTTGTGCAGGAAGTTCTTCCTTGCGAGGGTGGTGAGGCACTGGAATGGGTTACCCAAAGAAGTGGTGAATGCTCCATCCCTGGCAGTGTTCAAGGCCAGGTTGGACAGAGCCTTGGGCAACACGCGTGAGGTGTCCTTGTCCATAGCAGGGAGCTGGAACGCAATGATTTTAAGGTCCTTTCCACCCCAAACTGCTCTGTGATTCTGTAACTCTATGTAATGACCCAGCTGGCTGAGCAGGTGAGGAAGAGCCAGGTTCAACTCCGTGCCCTTGGCATTCACAGGTAGGAGGATTTGATGGAGTGAACCGGCTCCGCAGCGTGGAAGCGTACAACCCTGTCAACGACACCTGGCACGCGGTCCCCCCCATGTTCAACCCTCGCAGCAACTTCGGCATCGAGGTGGTGGAGGACTTCTTGTACGTGGTTGGGGGCTTCAACGGCTATAGGACGATTCCCACAGCAGAGCGCTACGATGAAAAGGCCAACGAGTGGCACAACATCAAGGAGAGAGAGAGAGAGAGAGAGAGGAGGAGAAAGAAGGGAGAGAAGAAGAAGAAATGAACATGAAGGACGTTCTCTGAGCTGCTGCGTGGTGCCAGGCCTCTCCAACATCAGGGACTACGTGCCGGCAGGGAGCTGGACAACCCTCAAAATGAAATCAGGTCACTGTCTTCAAAGCAGCAGCCTGCCTGTATAAACAGCTCCGTGCAGCAAATAAAGCCCTCTGAGCAGCAAGTGAATGTACTGACTTCTGTTCTAAACCAGATCAATAAAATTATAAAGGCCATAAGGAAGAATTAATCGTAGAATCATAGAATAGTTTGGGTTGGCCAGACCTTCAAGTCTTTTCAGTTTCCATCCCCCCTGCCATGGGCAGGGACACCTCGCTCTAAACCATATCACCCAAGGCCTTGTCCAACCTGGCCTTGAACACTGCCAGGGATGGAGCATTCACAACCTCCCTGGGCACCCATTCCAGTGCCTCACTGCCCTCACAGGAAAGAATTTCCTCCTTAGATCCAATCTAAACTTCCCCTGTTTCAGTTTTAACCCATTACCCCTTGTCCTATCACTACAGTCCCTAATGAAGAGTCCACCCCCGGCATCCCTAGAGGCCCCCTTCAGACACTGGAAGCTGCTCTGAGGTCTCCACGCAGCCTTCTCTTCTCCAGGCTGAAGAGCCCCAACTTTCTCAGCCTATCTTCATATGTCCCCTGAGCATCCTTGTGGCCCTCCTCCTTTTAATATTTAAAGCTTTCCTTCTATGGCACCGCAAAACGTGTGCATCGGCCCCGACCTCTGCAGCAACTGAGATAGTGAAAAGTACAACAAAGGATGCTAGAGAAATAAAGGGTTTACTAATTCACTTCTTACAATAAACTTTAGTACAGTGTATTTAAGGTAAAGAACGTGACAGTAGGGTTTGTGTCAAACCTAGACGCACACACACTACGTTACCTTACTGGAAGCCAGTGCAGGCGTGCTGCTCCCCAGGCACTCATGGAAGTCTACATTAACACAGGAGAGCACCGCTGCCGTGATCCACGGTGACACGCACCTATGAGGAGCATCTGACTATTAATGGTCTTTCTAACACCTCGTTAGTTCCACACTTCACATTCATGTTAGTAACAGGATTAGATCCTCAAGAGCACCTGGTTTAGCAGACTTCCACTTCAGGACTGACAACTGGAGATATGATTTACACCCTGCATAACGTGGACACAGCTGGCAATAAATCTAAGCCATACACCCCTTACTTGAAGCTTGCTTTTTTAAGCCCACTGAGAGTTACAACGTACTGTGAACTAGGTTGTGTTAAACAGAACCCAAAGGGTTGCAATGCTTTGTGACTCAGTCTGTCAGTAGAGATCAGTGGATTCCCTGACACACAAGTTGAGCCAACAGTTCCCATGTTAACACTGACTGTGATGGAGAAAAGATGGTATTGAAAATAGTACTGCAGAACGCTTGGCCTGGCTATTCATAACGCATGCTAAAAAGTTGGCATGTCTTCATTACAAACCCAGCATACTAACAGAGCATTCAGGTAGTTAGAAAACACTATGTACACACGTGGCACCTAGAAATTACTACACTGACTGCCGAGTGTGAGGCAGGATGTGTCCTACTCCACTGATGCTCTGAGCAGGAAGACAGGACATGAAACATGCATTTTGTGGCACATATTCAGTACAGGTGGAGATTGATGCTCATGAGGAGGAGGGAACACTCCTCCCAGTGCTCTTTTACATTAGTAAAGCCAGAAGTTGGCCTTCCAATACTTACTGCATACACACTTGGGTCTTTGCTGACATGGAACGGGCCACTATAGACACACTGAAAGAACCTCCAGGCTTCTGCTTCTAGGATCGTTTTATCGACAGGCAGCAAGCTACGGCAGTCAGGGGCCACAGAGGAGCTGTTGTGAGCCTCACAGGTTAGTGGGCTACAACACAGAGCCAATAATGCAGCTCTTCCAAACACCTACATGTGATACAATGGGTAGTTAGAGCTGTCAGTTAAAACCCATGTGTAATGCAATTGGTCCATTTAAAGTCAAGGTTAAAAGACCCCAAGACAAACCCAATGACTTTAAAAACCCATACAACTGGCATAGCAAGAGTCTGAGCAAGTGCAACTGTGCCCCTCACTCACCATGCAGACACAGCACACAGGTACAGGGCGTCACGTAGGGAATCACGGCTGGCATTCCCGTGCTCTGGATGCTAAAGCTCTTTTGACACTGTCTTGGAGTGGAATGTTTTTAGTAAACTATGGAGCCTGTGTGTTAGCCAAAAGTTCTCATGGTTAAATGCAGTATCAGTTTTGCTTTGAAAAAGAATGACTGCAGTTAAGTTTGTTCTTGTATCGAATTTGGTCACATGCTGCCACATGTCAAACTATTCAGTTCATCTTCCACCAGAAATAACCTTGGGATTTCTCCCTATATATTGTCCATATTAACTGACAGACCACAAGAGGGCTTTGACAGGGCTGGTCTCATATACGCCATCCTTCAGCTGCTTGTCAAACCCCTACAACCAAGTCAGCGGGGAGAGCACAAAAACTTTTCTCTGTTGTTTCTGTGCAAAGTCTGGTGAAGTACCTTGAAATCACCTCCTACAAAGTAAAGTTAAATCAGCAGATTTAGTTCCAGTTCTTAAACTACTCAAGCCAAACCTGCAAGAGCTCATGGGCCAAACTCCACAGAGTAAGCCCTTGCTCACAGGCTGATTTGGTAACGGTCACTTCTGGACATCAGCCTTAAACCTGAGCAAGCGTTACCTACTTGTTCTCTTAGGCCGGCATCATACAATTTCATCTGCCCTAACAATCCGACAGGCAAAGAAAATACAACAGAGTTACTACAGGTGACTAAATTGAGACAAACTGCTAGGATGTTCAACTTCTTTTTGTTTAACCAAGGCTACAAGACAAGTTATTGATTTCCAAAGTGGCAACTGCAAAGCAGAGCAGAAAGGGCTGTAGACATCAGAGAGACCGTGACACACTGTGTGGTTGAAAGACTTACCCAGTGTTTCAGCTCTGATCTAGGTTGGTGCTGAATTGGGAAATGGGAAGTATCAGCTCAGAAAGCTAAACAGTTCAAACAAAACAAAACAAAAAGCCAAACTGTTTTAGAAGTTCTTTTGCAAAGAAGTTGCCCACAACAAAACCACCAGAAAACCATGGTAAGAACCAAAGACAGTAAATACATTCTCCAGCAAGGTTTGTCTAGACAAATTCTGGAACACCCTGCATACTCCTCCCTTTCCCCTCCCTAAGATCCTGAGTTAGGCTGCATGTGAACGCCTGGAACATTCAAATGGAGGGAAGGATGGGGAAGAAATGAAGGGAGGAAGGATGCATTCAATCTGGCAGTAACCTCAACCGTGCTGGAGCTCTTGAGATCAGGAAGGAGGAGTGTTTGGTGGGACAGTAACCATTTACTCTGAAGGAAATCTTCCCTTTCTGTTCCTTGGAGCACAGCAGGAAGTGAACCAGAGCCAGTCAGGGCACTGGTTTATGTAAAACCCCCTTGGCACACCGAAAGGTATTGAAATCAGCTTCAATCTTCCCACCACACTAAGTGGGGAAATCCAGCTGTTGAGACACTACGAAAACTCAAGTGTCTTGCTTCAAGAGGACACTACTTGTGGATTTGTGACGGACCCTGCAGCACAGGAGAGAGGGTACCGAAGGCAAAGAGATCTGATTGTCAAAGACAGACTGGAAACAGGCTCACGGAGGTTCTTCTGATCACCTTTTCACTAGGCTTAAAAGGTGTACAACACATGAGGAAGGGTCTACAACCAGCTCTGGTTTCAGGCCGTTACTGTGAAATACCCTCCTTCTTACTACTCTACACTGACAGCAGGAACCAGTCCGTGCTGGCGGGTGGTACTTTGTTGGGTTTCACTCCTTTTCTCAGGCTGATGTTGAGCCCAGTTCCTAACGAAGCTGTCAAACACAAAGCATCTTCTTTACTGCCTTGAGCTCTCTGCTCTGGCAAGTGCCTTGTGTTCTACCAACCATCCATTCACAAGCAAACGCTGCAGCCTCTCTACAACAGACAGATACAAAATACGGAGTACACATAGAACCATCCTGCAGTAAGTTGATAAGGAAAGATTGTGCTTTTGTTTTCATACACAGATGTAACTAGTGTACTTGCCTCCAGCGTGGCAAAGCAAAGTATACTAACACAAACCGCATGTGAAGTTTAGTCATTGAGGAGGAGAGACTCAAAGGAATGTCAATAGATAAGTGCAAATAAAAGAGGAGAGGTGCTTTCAAGCACATACAAATGTAACCACTGACTTATTACAACAGGGATCTTTGATTTTCAAAATACAACTGTTGGAGCCTAACTCCAAAGAAGTCCTTGAAAACAAAGATCCCAAGACAGAAGTAACAGACATAATGTTCCTGGGGATACCTCACAGCCCGATACAGGCCACGGCTTCTCCCTGGGCACCACTGAGTAATACTGTTGGATTCACATAGCTCCTCAATTCCCATCCATCCTCCATTTCTCAGCTTCTTAATACTCAGTACATAAAAGATGCTGGCTTTATGCATCAAACTAAACCAACACCCTCATGTCTTATAAAGACATCTCCAGCCTAACAAGACACTACTTCCGAGACTCATCAGGAGGGATGTTCCATGAGCTAGCACTCTATCTGTGAGCGGGGGATCCTCCGCAAGCTCAGGGAGTGTCGGTGTATTTCCTGCATCTGCCTTTCCTGCATTTGCCTTATTCTGTCCTTTTGCCACATGAGATTTTGTGGCATAGGGTACCTCTGCGTGCCCTGCAAGCACCTGAAGGGAATCCTCACGTGGCAGGCTGCTGCTCTGCACCGGGGCTGAGGCATAGGAGGCAAAAGCATCCAGCGCTTTCTCTCCGCACAGTACCGATAGGCCTCCTTCCTGTACTGCTTGTCAGTATCATCACTGTTTTTCCACCCCCCAATGATAAAAACATCATCTTTATAATAACAAATAGCTGCTCCTTCAATGCTAAGCACCTCTGGGGGTAAGCTTTCAAGTATTTCATCTGAGGCCCTGCCAGAGATCTTTACCTTGGCCTCCTCATTATCTATAGGGTAACTCTTGGGGCAGCACGATGCTGTGTGGTAAAAGTTCGTGTTAGCCACGGACATCTGAAAAGAGCAATAGTTATCAATGAGAGGCAGGGACTCCACGTCCTGCCACTGCCTCGTGTCAGCATCGTATCTGATAATGACTGCCCTCAGCCCATCTTCGCTATCCCTGTCAACCGGGGTTCGAGCAGCGACATAAATGAAACGGTCTTCTACAGAAACAGCTTTGACATCCCGAAGGATCTTGGGGGCTGACTCCAGGTTAAGCCATTTGTCTTGCTCAGGGTTATAAACGGACACATCTTTAAAGCCAGGGATGAAATTGCCATGCCCACCAATACTGTACAAGCTGCCCTTCACTTCAGTAAGGCCAAAGGAATGCTTTCTGGTTAGCAGGTTGGAGACTTGCTCCCAGACATTCCTGTTTGGATTGTACCTTTCTACAGTCTTGGCAAACCCTGGTTCCATGGAGCCAGCCACATACACGTACGACTCTGTCACAGCAACCGCGTGCCCATCCAGGTGGTTATGGACGTGGGGTAAGTTTACCCACCTATCTTCATCGATGAAATACCCCACGCACTCACTCAAGTAATCCCCTCCCTCCGACACACCACCAATGACCATAATGACATCCATGTTCTGCCCGAACCGCGGCAGCAACGCTACCGGACAAGCAGAATGCTGCAAGTTACCAGGCTGCAAGTTCTCAGACCTCAAGGCATGGCTCTCCACGGCTTCAGCCACCAGTTTAACACAGGCCTCGTTGCTCACCACCAGCCTTTCCGGCTTGACGTGGCGCGTAAGGTAAGTGGGCTTCATCTGGGACAACCTGAGCAGTTTAAAGAGATCTTCAAAGTACCTCTCTCTTTCCTCGGGGCTCTTCTGCACCCACCTCAGCACGGTCTCAAAGAGGACTTCTTCAGAGTCCACCGTGATCTCCGAGTCCGAGAGCCAGTCCCTGACCAGGTGGAAGGGCAGCGTGTAGAACTCCTCGTCCTGGATGACCCTGTAGAAGTTCCTCCTGATCATGTCCTGCGCTTTGAGGGCCAGCTGGTTCAGGGAGTACATGTGCGCCAGGCTGTGAACCGCCACGCAGTTGGAGAGGTTCAGCTTCTTCTTCAGGAACTCCCCGCAGAATTCCTTCAACCGGGTCAGGAGGAACCTGCAGCGCAAACGCACACGGGTGATGCCGGCCCCGGCCCCGCGCCCTGCCCGCTGCCCGGCCCCGCTCACCTGTCCGCCATCTCCAGCACCTCATGCACGTTCCCGGGGCTGACGCGGATGGTGCCGGTGTACATGAACCCGATGATGGCCTCCACCGTGTCGGGGTCGGGGCCGCCCTCCGAGCTCCACTTCTGCAGCTCCACGCGGCCCGAGCGCGACTCGGTGAAGCCGCCCGACAGCAGCGGGGTGAAGTACTCGGTGGCGGCGGCCAGCACGGAGCGGTGCGCCCGGTACTCGCGGGCCGGGCCGGGCCGCCCGCCGCCGAACGCCAGGGTGATGTCGCAGTAGAGGCCGTGGCGGCGCTGCTCGTTCTGCCGCCACGCCAGGTCGGAGCAGTGCGCGGGGCACCCGAACTCCTCCGCCTCGGCCTCCACCTCCCCCCCGCCGCCGGGCCGAGGGGCCCCGCTCTCCGCTACCGCCGGCGGCCCCGGGCCCGGCTGCGGCTGAGGGGAGGCCGCGGCCGCCGCCATCTTGTCCGACATGGTGGGGTGCGGGCAATGCGCCTGCGCTGCCAGCCTGAAGTGCGCGGCACTGCCCCCTGGCGGCTGGGGGGGGGGGGGTGCCCCCGCCGCAGGTAAAACGGTGGCGGGGTTGGCCCCAGCGCGGCTTCCCCTCAGCGCGGGTCGGCACCGGGAGCAGCCCGGAGCGGGAGGCACCGGCTCCATCACCCCCCTGAGAGCTCCTCAGGGCGAGCTGAGGGCCTGACCCGGCCCCGGTGGCTCTCCCGGTGTAGGACCCGGTGTGACAGCAGCCAGAGCCGGAGGCAGCGCCCAGGCACTGGGCAGGAGGGAGGCCCTGGGGCTCCTTCCCACCCTGTACAGCTACCAAGGGCCGGGAACACGCACACAGGGCTTGGCAGAACCTGGAGGGGGCCTTTCCTTTATTCCCCTCCTTCAGGCCAAGCTGCAGGGCAGGGATTTAAGGAGGAATTAACTCCCTCCCCCCAAAGGGCACTGTTGGTGTGGAGCTGATTTCTTGTTTCCTAGACAACGTGTGTATCCCCCCATGCCTCCTAACTAGGACATGGAACCATGGAGTGGTTTGGGTTGGAAAGGGCCTTAAGGTCATCGTTCCAACCCCCTCCCACCTCACACTAAACCAGGCTACCCATGGCTCCAAGCTTGAGCACTGCCAGGGATGGGGCAGCCACAGCTTCTCTGGGCACCCTGTGCCAGCGCCTCAGCACCCTCACAGGGAGGAGCTTCTGCTTTAGGTCCAACCTGAACTTCCCCTGGTTCAGTTTGACCCCATCACCCCTTGTCCTGTTGATACAGTCCCTAATGAAGGTCCCTCCGCAGCATCCTTGTACCCCCTTCAGACACTGGAAGCTGCTCTGAGGTCTCCACGCAGCTTCTCTCCTCCAGGCTGAACAGCCCCAGTGTTCCCAGCCTGGCTCCATACGGGAGCTGCTCCAGACTCTGAGCATCCTCATGGCCCCCTCTGGACTTGTTCCAAGCCCTACTGATGTTGAGGACACCAGAACCGCACCCAGTGCTGCAAGGGGAGTATCACAAGAGCAGAGTAGTCCTGTCCTGTCACGCTCCTTTTGATGCAGCCCAGGACAGGGGTGGTTTCTGGCTGGGTCATGTTCAGTTTCTCACTGATCAACAGCCCCAAGTCCTCCTCAGGCTGCTCTGAATCTCTTCTCTGCCCACGCCATAGCTGTGCCTGGGACTGCCCCTTCCCTGAGGGAAGAACTGGTTGGAGGTAGCAACCATTACCCCCTCTTTAAACCCCACTTTCTAGGAGCCGGAAGTGGAAGAAGAGTAACTGAGTAGTGTATCCTTTATTTGAGTTGGGTTACAATACACAGAGGCATAGGACAGTAAAGTTATCACTGAGATGAGTTGGGATCTGCAGCTCCCGTGAGTGAGAAGCCATCGCCCAGCACTCGTATAGTACAGGAGAAGCTGTTTGCATAAATACAGACACCGGCACACGGGGGGGTTCACAGTTTTAACAGCGGTATGTTACAACTTTACACGTTAAATTACTACACCCGAGGTCGAGTAACATGGATTACACATCAGCGGTGGTCCCACCAGGCAGGATACAGGGAGACGGAGGTGAGAACACTGTAAAGGGTTGAAGAACAGCCAAGAACAAAGAGAGGCCAAAGTCACGGCTGATGGGAAGGGTGGGAAGCTTCCCCTCCATCAGGAACAGTTACAGATGGGTACCACACTAACAGATCTGCCTATGAGCAAACTCCCCCCCACATCCCTTAAAGTCTTCTCTGGAGATTAATGAAACAGGAAGAAAAGGGTGAGAGACAGTATTAAATACAGCAGGTAACAGATGGCATATCACAACTTTTGGTTTTTATTAGAGTAAGGTTCTAGTTAGAAAACAGTTGCTTCGCACAGCTGGACCAGGCAGCTCAATGTCTATGTACCAATGGCCTTTAGCCAGCAAAGTCCCATTCGTGGCTGACCTCTGTGCAGGCTGCTGTGGTCTTCAAGTGCCATTCTGAGGCAAGAGTACAGGCTCTCACATGGTCATGTGCTCGGGTAGAACATAGGATATGTCATCCCACGGGTGACGGTACAGACCCTGCTTCAACCGCTTCTGATCCAGGTAGTGTCCTAAACCAGAAGCAGTTTGGGTTATAACGGTGCTGTTGCTCCGCCTTGTCTTATTCTGCCTAGAAAGAGCTTTGGTTCCTGGCTTCCTACAAGGAGTATTGGGCATCCCTCACTAGGATGGAAGGGGTGGGAACGTGGCAAACTTACCAATGAATCCCATGCTCCTGCCTAGTACAAAGATGCCATTAAGAGCTCCTATATCAATATATTCATCTGCTTCTTCCCTGCAAAAGAGAAGAAATTAAATAGTTGCTCACAATGATCTAGTTAAGGAATCAATCTTAGCAAGGCTATGAGTCTCCTCTAGAGGCAGTAGCAACACTGAGTTCATGTGGAAGCTTCCTCCCCAAGTCCAGGCTATGCTCCCTTCACAACGTCCCAAAACCCTGGCCCCACATGAGCTGGCGGGACAGCTCTCATTGTTTTTACAGGGCCATGATCCATGAGAAACAGCCCCCACCAGACTTACCTCGTGAAAGAGCCACAATTCCTGAGTACATCAACAAAGGCAACTCCAATAAAGCCGTCTACATTCAGAATAAGGTTTGGTTTCTGCAGGAAACAAGAACACAGCCCAACAAAGATGTTAACAGTGGTGGATGATGTTCACCAGGCAACTTCCATCCTCAAGGGCAATTCGGGGCTTGTGGACACACAAGCCTAGTGATAGACAAGGCCATACTTAATGTGAGCAATGGAAAACCAGCCCCAAACAATGGGCCTGTGTTTGGTTCAAACCACAGGGATGATCTGCCCCAGCCCATCACACGTGCTACTTCTGCCTCAGCTTTAAAGGCAGCCCTTCCAGTGTGGCCAACACCAGGAATGGGTTCTGGTTTCATTCAGTGTTTTCCTCCTGTCCTAACAAATGCCTTCAGCCTTACCAAGCTGTAGTTGCACTTGGCCTCAAGTCTGCCATAGAACAACCATATGGGACACTGCAATTCTAATGCAGTATTTCCTGGAGGGAGGAAAACAGTAGCACATTTCACCTTGGAAGTTGTAATCTTCTCTACTTCAAGTGCGTAGTCCAGCAGCGGGGTGGCCGGGAAGTGCTGCTTCACGTAGTCTTTGAGAATCTGAACTCTCATGTCTGGGTTATTTATCTGCAGGTTAAACACACATGACAGTCACTCACGTTGCCTCTCGCACAGACACTTGCCATAAGCTTTGCTGTTTGTAGGTTGAAGAGAATTTGGTCAACAAGTGCCTCAAAAGTTGCTGCTTTTCTTTCCTCTGTTTCTTTTCTCCCCCACCCTCCCACTAAAAAGCCCTCCAGCTTGTAAGGATGCACTTCTCTTACTGATTTGACTCTGTGTCCAATGCCCATGATCAGCTTCCCTTCTTTCTTCATCTTATTCACAAACTCCATAGGGATAATGCCACTGTCGAAGGCTTTACTGAACATTTTAGCTGCAGCATCCAGTGCTCCACCAAACCGGTCACCCTGGGTGCAACACACAAAGGGAATTACAGCAAAAGACTCGCCAGTTAAGGAACAAAACAAGCCCAAGCTTATCTTCCCCATCTGCCCTGCCTATCGCTGTGGCACGCACAACATTCCCATTAGGCACGCAGCTGAGATAAAGCATCTGTTGCAGGCAACACATCTCCACTAGAGACAAGCGTGGGGGAAACGCAAGCTGCAGTTTTGCTTCACATTTTCACTTGTCAGTCTTGGAAGAGACTCAGCAACCACACAGGGACCACGCTGGAAACAGTTTGGCCTCTACAGAACATTTCTAGGCTCAAGTGACAGACATCAAAATAGCTTGCTTACTAGAAAAATGGGCTAGAAGTCAACAGAAACTCAGAGTGTAAGTGAACAGACACTGCCTGGCCACGGCTCTGCACTAATCTTAAATTAACAGTAATAAAACCTAAGTGGAATAGTAAGTAATGATGCTCATCTGCTGGGTATTAGGCACTTACGATAGTAAGAAGGCCTGAAGTGAGACTTGAGACAAGATCCTTTCCAGCTCTTGCACAGACGATGGTGTTGTGGGCTCCAGACACAGCAGGGCCATGGTCTGCTGTTACCATCAGGCACATCTCAATGAACTGGCAGGCATACCTGGGTAACCTGAGCGAGAGAGGGACTGGGGTCATTTACTGTGAAGAAAACTAAGTAACAAGACATTTGGTGTTACTGGATAGTGGCTTTTGGTATAGGTGTATGCTTGAAAGAAACAGAGCAGAGAAAAGGAGCTGCAGGGTCTCAACACCCATCAGCCTTGAGATGCTGACATGGTGACAGAAGAGGGAACAGAGAGGGCATTTCTAGTGATCCTATCTCCACAAAGGAATCCTTGAGTTACAGTTTTTGCTTAAAAGTCTAATAATACCCAAGAAACACTTGAAGCCAAAGGATCCGAGAGGTTTCCCCCAAGCTGCCTCACCTCCTCTGAAACCAGAGCAGGCCCAGCACCCCTCCAATGCCCATCTCTTCTTTGAAGACCTCAGTGATCGGCATCCCAGCATAGATCAGTTCCTGGCCTCTCTCATCACAGATGCTTGTCATGAAGGAGGCTGGTTTGCGAATCAGACCCAGCTCCTGGAATTGCAGCATAAAGATGGGATTTTAAACAAGCCCCATTAGGAGCAAGGGGCAGGAGGAGGCAGAGTGGTCAAACAACAATGCCTCGAGCTTGCCCTCAGAGCAGCCTCCACAGCCCAGAGCCAGTGTAGCCACTGAGTTCGCAAGTAACACTATGAAGTGTGAGAGATAACCCCAAGGCAACACCATTATTGCCATGAGCATCCAGACTCACAGCAGACAGCTTGTTGGCTTCTAAGGAACCAAAAAGCAGGTAAAACAACACAGCTCACCCTTGCCCAGGAGTAGTCCATTGGCACAGTTGGAGGAGGCACTTCCTCAGCTGGTTCAATCACTCTTTTAGCCACAAGATCCTGGTAGACAGACCTAGGGAAAGAATCCTGG